TACTATCGGTTTATCACAAAAAGCGCATTCATAATTACATTACAAAAACTTTCACTGACGTTGATGTGTGTAAACAAACAGTTTAAGAAATCATGCTATTTTGATCAAACTCATACCAAATTCTACTCCCTAGAGAATTTCGGTGTTTTGAACATAATATAATAATGCGCCACTTTTGCAATTTTCTGCATCACTCGAGTTTCAATACTTTTTTTTCCTGACACCCTATACCTGTAGTAGTTATTCTGAGAAACGGAGTTTTTTCAAAGATGTTTAGGCGTCTTGGGCTAAAGATTTAACAATGGAGGATGACTGGCTTGTCAGCAAAATAAATTACGGGGCAAAAGAAGAAAAAGTTAAGAATTTATTAAAAATTTTAACGGGAATTGTGCTTCCTTCAGATATCGAGACTAAACAAGATTTGGTGCAAAGTTCGTCATTTTTTCATTTATCTTCAGTGCCAATTAAAGGAAATTTCTTTCTGATGCGAGTTTTCCTAAAAGTCGCTTAAGCAAGAGGAATTCTGTTCTCACCCCATTTCTCGCCAAACAATTCACTGTAGTTCTTGGCCTCCATTAATCTAGGCACTAGTAAAAAGTTGAATATAATTAAGGAGTAGTCTGTTTTCTATTGCTTATTAAAAGTAAATGAGATAACCATCGCCATCATTTCAGAGAAGGTTAGCTAGAAACACTTGGCGTTCTAGACCTGCATGGGACATTTTAGGTACTACCAAGCCTTTTAGAATTGATATACCATGCAGCCCCAACAGTTGGTCCTTCGGCCGCTTGAACGTGGCTCAACTAACATTAGTTTTCGTTTTGCCATTATTACGCTTATAAAGAGAGATCTTCCAAAAAATCTCAAATTATCGTGGAGTATAAAATAAGCATTCCCAACTAAGACAATTTTTCAAAGACTTCTAAAATTAAAAGCCGTGGGGAAACGAGAAGGATGCTACGGTTTAAATAATGATTAATACAAACCCATTCATAACAGGTAGATTTAAGGGACAAAATCGCTTTCAGAAGTGATCCCTCACAATTTCAACATGATTATTGAAAAAAATTTTTTTAAAGCTTCAGTTATAATTCCCGTAACAAAGTTTAACAAACTCCTGGGCAGAAACAGATATGACACAGTAAGTAATGTGTACTGCTGTATTCAGAATGTCATAACAATTTTGGTTACGAACACTTCTTGCAACTGTGCTGTAAAATCACTTAAACTATGTTTTTGTCCAGGCAACCATTTAAGTCATGAATGTCAGGTAGAAAAACTAACTTCAAATTCCTAGTCGCCTGACAAAAAGTATCGCTTCAGTGCCGCTTAAAGCGTCAGCCTACTGGTAGGTAATAACTGTGCTCAGTATTTTAAAAAAATGTTGCTGTTGAGATCGTGCCCTATTTATGTATTCTTAAGGTGTTTTTGTTAAAAAACTTTTTTCACAAGTTTTTTCCGATTAAAAACATTCGCACCTTCAGTACGCACTAAAGATATTTTATTCATTTCCCTAACATTACCTTTTGACAATGTTTAGGGACAGTATAATGCATGGACATAAAAGGAGCAATAATAACAACTGCGTTTCTTATCTAGTCGTTTTTACTTTTTCAACTTGTTATTTGCAGAAAAAAATGATGAGTATATTTTCAAAATATAACAGAATTAGTGCTACCTTCTAGGTGGAATGTTCGATAGCTGATTATCTCAAAAGAAAATTTTTTCAACTAACAAATAGTACAAGGGATTATGTAACTAGCGACAGTTTCATTGCATTTCCTTGATAGACTATATATTCGGATTCAAAAAGTCCCCAAATAACATTACCGATATTGTCTGAGTAATATATGTGAAGAAGGGTTATTGTTATTGTTAACATTGTTATTACTATTATTATTATGCGTATCGTTTTAAAGAAGAGTGAAATTACGTATACATAACAAGGATGGTTTTCACGACGACGACGATCATGAGGACTCTGAAGTGACTAGATGGACAATGGTTATGAGATGAGTTGTGGTCAAAAAATGCTCATCGTTACTATGGGTTGTTTGAACAACGTATCCAAATTTTCATCTCCGTCATCACCGTTGGTCATTTCACAGTTTTTCTGAACATGTCAGCAGTAGTCAGCTATTTCAACCGTGTTTTCATACTTCTACGACTTCTAATTACGTTTTCAGGTCAAATAAATTTCAATTTCAAATGTATTTCTTTTCTAATAAGAGAAATCATTTTCTAATTTAACTAAAACAAATTTTGGTTTTAAAAAACAGATTTCTTCAATGGATTAACTATTACTATTGTTTTTAAATACAGCCATTACACTAACATTATGTAACGGCTCAATTGTCAGCACTGATAGTTCGAGTTACCTTTATTTTAAATATTACTAAAATTTTCTTTGCACCTCTTCATTTTGTGGCAAATAGCAGTAAAGAAGTTTTCTCACATTGAATTGGGTTCTTCTTTCCTTTCTGACCAGTAATTTATTGCGAATATTAAAGTTTCCACCTCAAACCCAGTTATTCAAAAAACTGTTTCATTTGTTACAATAAGGTGAGAAGAAAATTTTGGAAATACAACAACAAAAATGCTAAACTATTTTTTTTTCGATTTACAGAATCTTGTGCTCCACCGCCTGGATTAATAGGGCTTTCACCTACGTCTGCCTTTACCACGCGAAGTCGTGCATTAGGTGAACAAATTGAAAAAGCTACTCTAATAAGTTCCGGTAATTTCTTCTGTATAAAAGAAAAAATAAAGAAGGGGTCACATTAGAAACAGTGTTGACGGTATTGTAACTCCACTGATGTGGCTTTCTTTCCAAGTAAATATTCTAATCATGCATAAATTTTTTACCAATAAAACCAGTATAACACCTATGTACTTAAATACGTCTATGAACCGCAGAAGTGAAGGAGTACTAATTAAGCGGGTAAAAGTAAGTAAAATTTTATTGGGATTAATTTTTAAAGAAAAGGAACAGATAACAATAATCCTGAAGCCACTGAAAATGTTACTAGTCTAAAACTTAACCGACTCTGAGAAATACTTGGTTTTGAAAGTTAGCAAATTCTTCGTTTTCTAAAATAAAAATGTTGAATGAAAAAAGAGGGGTAAAACAAAACACTTTTAGCCAATATTATAAATGCACCAATTCGAGAGGCCAGCGATCTTCTCTGCTATGATTTTGACGATTCTTGCCATTGGCACAACATGGAATTTGGTATAGACAAACTTACTTGGTATCAAGGCGCTGGAACTCTTGATCCCAGCCGTCTTCAGGTAATTCTTAGTGTTGTCTTCAATAAGAAATTAAAAAACGATAACACTATTAAAAAAAAGAGTAGGGATTTCTAATTTCACTCTCGCTAAAGTCCAACGCAGTAACAGTTATATTTTGCCTACTTTGTTCTTGCCTTTTGCTCAGTATGAAGATCTTTTTGAAGATTTCCACCTCCACCAGTACTTCTCCAGAAGGGACATACGCCATTGTTGCAACAGACAGTGTCAAATTACCGAGGAATGAAGCTGTTTTAGTCAGCGACGTTATCGAATGCCAGAAAGGATCCGCTGAACTCCGATTTATGTACTGTTGTTTTAAAAACATTGCAAAATCTCTTGCTTCATGCGCTCCTTCCTCCTTTATTTGATTTTTTTGTGATATACTTGAACTACGCAGGGTCACTGTTTGAAATAAAGTACCTCAAGTTTCCTTCGTATATTTGAACTATCCTTCTTCAAACGATGCATTTTAGAAGAACTATAATAAAGTTTAAATCATAGAATTAAATTAAAAGAACTCAGAAACATGATACATATGTACTTTTCTTTTGCTAGTTCAGGTACTGGTCCAGTCCAGATGTGCAAATTACAGTGTGTACCAAGCGAACAACAAGGATTTATCCGGATTTTGATTTCTGTAATCCGCCAATAGAAACTGGTGATCCAGGCCCAGCATTCTTAATAATCAATAATGTCGACCAACAACCTTTCCAGGTAATAAATTAAGTCTTATAACTGACTCAAATCACATATCCTACAGTAAGCTTTTACTTTTGGCCATATCTATGTGTATCTGTACGGTCAGCTAGATTGAAGAAACAAAAAGACTATGACTTTTTGACAGATTTTTATTCGAGCTAGCAATTTTGTATTTCGCGCACCTAACCTAGAAGGAGGATTTGCAATCATTGACAATATTGAGTACTACGGAGAACTGTGCTCTGGATCTCTTAATTTTGTAACAGATACGGTAAGCCACTGCAACGATATTGACGGTTTGGAAAATAACTATTTCTTCTTAAATTTTTACGTATTACACTACACTAAATAATCATCATTCCAGCAGCAAAGTATATTTGCACCGCATATTGAATTACAGAAAAGCGGGAGTCGAAATTTTCCAACACTTTCGCCTCATCATGGTTATCA